CACCTTCCTCCCACCCCACCCAGGAGTCCGTGCCCGCCGTGCCACCAGGCTCAGCGAGGAGCCGAAGCTTGCACGTTCCCAGCACCCTGGGGTGCCCACGACCACCACCCCAGCAGCACCCAGCTCTGCCAACCATGCACCGGCACCCGCGATGCCCCCAATGCTGTGATTCCCCCCGCCTCCGACCCTGGCTAACGACTGCACGGGGCCAGCACTCACCAGGGGCCTGACGCTGGTGTCGGCACCGCGGGTCTGGACCGCGCAGAGGGAGCACTGGGTCACGCAGTTGGCGGATGCCGCCGCGGCCAGGGAGAGGCAGAACGCCAGCGCCAGCGCCCGCCGCGCCATCTCACCCCGCAACCGCTGCCTGGGGAGGGAGAGACAGCATGGAGCCCGTCACCCTCCCCGCGCCAGCCCCGGGGAGCCCATCGCCCCCCCGCTGGCACCCTCGTCGTGGGGCACCCACCGCCTCCACCTTGCCATTGCTCCTGGGGACATGCACCGGGACCTGTGCCCGTGCCTGCGGGACTCACCTCCGGGTGCTGCTCCTGGGTCCCAGGCAAGGAGAGAAGGGGACAGGAGTGACCGGCGGGGATGCCGCAGGATGTGATCCCTTACCCTGGCTGCAGCCTGGTCCTTGGTACAAGCCCTGAGCCGTGGCGAGGCCACCGAGGTCCCCGGGGCAGGGACCACCATCCCATCCCATCCCATCCCATCCCAGCCCATCCCATCCCATCCCATCCATCTCCTCCATTGCTCCTTCCATACCATTAGAAAGAACCCCCCCTTTTTTTTCTTTAGCACTGAGTTTCTCTGCAATATTGCGATCGCCGCGTTCACGTGGTACAGAGGGGATGAATCACCAGCTCTCCCCCTTGGCCTTGGGGAAGAAAAACACCATGATCGGAGCCGCCAGCAGAAAGGGGACAGGGATGCCATCACCCGCTACAGACTCACCCCAGGCTGCTGCACCCCATGCCAGGGCAGCTCCGGTTCCCCTCCCTCCCACCCGCCACTTCTGCCGGGCTGGTGCAGCAGGAGGGAGGGGGAAAAAGCCAGATTTCAGGTCCGAGCCTACCTGCAAGCCACGATCACTGTCCTTCAGCCTGCCAGGAGCCATGCCAGAGCCTCTCACCTCCACGGACGAGGCCAGGGAGGGCTGAATACGCTGTGCAACGGCTGGGAGAGGGGCTGTGCCAGCGGCAGCGCCTGGTGCCGCTCCAGAACCCCTTGGGCAAGGCTGGAGAGGCCGGTGCCAGCTCCGGCTGCAGTGCCATGGGACTGCGGTGCCGCCAGGACCACGACGGCCCTGGAAGCAAAAGCTGACCCCAACGGGATGTGCTGGCAGCAAACACCCGCCTGCCTCCTGGACTGCTTTTATCTGGGGTGGAAAGGCATGACCCAGAGGGATCTGTTACACATTAATGACGCATATTAGAGACTATTGTATTCGCCAGCAGTATCTGCTAATGTACTGTAATTGGTACTGATGAAGAAATGTTAATGCCACAGTATTAATTCATGCTAGATTAAAATTTAATTTGAATTATCTGCAGCATCGTGTGTCAAGCTGTCTGCATTCCTCGGCTGCACCGCGCACCGGCTCTGTGCAGCCCTCTAAGCACATCACCTCCACTCGCCCTGGCAGACCAGCAGGCACCAGGGCAGGCAGATGCCCAGGATGGGCACAAGCGACACGGGACCTCAGCCAGCCCTCGCCACTGAGACACAGCGACGGTCCCTTATCGCCTCACCGCCACCAAGACAGCACCGATGAGCGAGGACTCACCGGCCGCGCAGGTAGGTGCCAGCTCAGAACCGAGGGGAACGAAGCTCCCAAGAACAACTGCCGGCTGCTTCCCAGCAGCCCCACAGGGAATCTTTTTCCCTGCTTTTTTTCCCCACCCGCTTCCCTCCCTTGCCCCTGCCATGCTCCTCTGCTGCCAGCAGCCCCGCGGGTGCCACTGGAGCAGCGTGCAGGGACCGCACCAGCAATGTTCACCCCATACGTGTCCAGCAGCCGGGGAACAAGCTGCAAGCATGACTGGCACTGCACAGCTCCATCCTCTGGCATTTTGGACACGGTGTGTCCCATCCCTGTCACCCAGCACCCAAGCCCTGCAGCAGCCAGAGGACTTCATGGCTCTCAGGGGAGCTGCAGCTCTCCGGGGCACAGCTCCAAGGAGATTCCATGCGCGGGCATCCCGGGATACCCCGCTGCAAACATACCTTGTCCAGGCGGTGCCACGAATGTCCCCGCAGCGCTCTGCCTGCTCCTGTGGCTGGGGTTGGGGGGGAACTGGCAAAACTGGGGCAGGAAAAGGGGAGGAAAACAAAGGGCTTTGGACAAAAGCGAAAAGCAGCAGCACACAAAGGGAGGAAGAAGAAAAGCAGAGTTAGAGCTCGATCCCGCATTGCTTGCAGAGTTAGTGTGTTACTTGGAGGAGCCCCAAGGCTCCAGAGCCGTCTCTCCTGCAGAAATGCCTCGACAGGATCGTGCCAGCGTCCGGCAATACCAGCGGTGGGTCCCGGCCGTTGCGGCCACGCTCAGCGCATCCTACCTGCCCCAGGCGTCTGCTGGGGTCCCCTCTTCCCCCGTCCCGTTTCCACTTGAGTGTTCAGTGCCTCGGCTTTGCTAGTGTGTGGAAAAGCCCCAAGTTGCATCCGTGCGCCCCAGAGGCCAGTTACAGACTCGGTGACCCAAGGAGGGATGGGGAATCGGGACTGTGTGTGCCAGGCAGCCCAGAGACCGACCCCCCCATCATGATTAACCTGTGATTATTTCTAGTGAGGGATGGGAACAGCTCTCCCAGGCTGAGCAGATCTCTCCTCCCACACAGGTCTAACTCAGGCAGGTTAGGACCCTGCAGGTATTTCTGGTGGAGAAGAAGAATCACCGTCCAGCAGTTCCTTTCCTCACCCTTAAAAATGACCTGGAAACACCTTCAGGACAAGGCTTCCAAAAAAAGCTGATGACTTTTGGAACAGAATCGCAGCAAAACCCAGCACTGCGGCCGCCGCTGCTGCTTGAGCCAAGGTGGGGGAGACAGAAACCTCCCCCCCATCCTCTCCCCCTCCGAGCCCCGGGTGTCCCCGCTGCCAGGGTGGCAGACATATGGCATCGGCATCGAAACGAACCCCAGCAAAACTCTGGACACCGGTTCATGGGCTACGAAACCGCACGAGGGACAAGAGGACCACCTGCAGCCAGGCGGGAGCCCCTCAAAATAACGCAACGAGCCCAACCGCCAGCCACTCTCGGCACTGCGGCTCAGTGTGGGGGGGGTGTTTTTAAACAGAGTCACTCTTTGGTGAGCAGAAGCAATAGCCCGGCTGCGCCCGCGCGATGGGAGCAGGACAGTGACCCCGGCAGCCCTACCTGCCGCTGCTCCCCGTCCCGCCGAGTCAGGACAAGTCGTGGGGTGGTGGGTGTCCCTCCGTGGGCGTCAGGCTGAGCCGGTCATCGGTGACGGTGGCAAGGCCACGCTGGCTGGTGGCCACGCGGCGGTACCCGGGTTGCCCACCGGACTCGCCGCCCGCCGGCTCCCAGCCCGCTTTTATGGCCACCGAGTCTCCTCCTGCAGAGGGGCCCGGCTGCGTTCGGCACCGCGGAGCCAATCGGGGCGAGGGAAAGCTGTGAATAATCAGCCTCGCAGCATCCTCGCCACCTCCCCAGCAGGCTCTCCTGCTGTGCCGGGGCCTCCTTGCAGCCCCCCCCGGCGACCTGGGTGCATGTTCTGCTGCTGCACTGCTGCCGGCTGCATCCCTCGGGGCCCCCCCATCAGCACCAGCTTCGGTCCTCGGGGCTGAAACGCGTGCCCCAAACATGGGAGGTGGCAGGGGACCGGGATGGGGGTCCGTCTCCCCCCCCCCAACCTGCATGCTGGAGTTTGGCTGCTGGGGGTGTGAATCCCCTCCCTGGGTACCAAATTCAGATCCTGTCCAAGAAGAAGGGGGGGGGTGTGAAGCCCTGACCCTCCCCAACCCGCTCCCCAGGCTGGGGACAGGCAGTGTCCTCGTGGCGATGCTGGGGAGAGGAGTGATCCCATCTGAAGCCACTGGGAAGAGCAAGAGGGTCTTCATGCCCCGGAAAGGCTGGTGTGTCCCCCCCCCCCCAACCCAGCCGTGGTTGGGCAGCAAAGCCCTCGCACGGAAACCCCCCACCTCCGCACCGACAGGGCTCGGACCCCCACCCTCTCCCCTGGGGACAAAGCCAAAGAGATGAGCCAAAGGGGCTGGGGGAGCGGGGTGGGGGGACAGAGACCCCCACACACCTTCCCTGCTCAGCCGCGATTCCTGTTCACATCTTTCCAAGCGTGATTCAGGGGTGAAGGACGGCAGCACTGGGCAATGCCACTCCCCACCCCCCAAGCCCATGCACCACCGTCCCTCTGCGCCATATCACGACAAAGGTGGGGGTCCGGGGTGCAGACCCCGCGGGGCCAGGCCAGCCCTTCCCATCCCCTGCAGCCCCGGTGGGTGCGAGCGCATCCCATGTGCCGCCGGCAGCGCAGCCCGTCCTCTCACCTTGAAGACGGAGCTATTTTTATCGGAGCTCAAGAGGGATGTTTCCCAGCAACCTGCCTTTCTCCCCAGCTTGAACACCAGCTGCCGGACCTGGTGCCCCCTGCTCAGCCCTCCCAGTGCCGGTAAAGGGCATGGGGGCTATCGGCATGGCCGGGACCCTCCGCTGGGCACCCGGCAGCCACAGCCGGGCAAGCAGAGCAGCCTGCGCCAGCCGCCTGTGGTCCCCCATCCCCAAGGCTGGTGGCTGCCTCCGCTAGCACCCAGGTTTGGGGTGCCGGGCTCTGCTCCCCAGAAAGTACGTGGGACCCCACAGCTTTTGCTCGGAGGTGCATTTTAGCTCACCCAGGGCTGTACCAGCATGGAGGGGCCAAGGGAGCAGGGCAAGGGTGGGGGGGTGAGGCAAGGGCAGAGCATCCTGCATCTCCCCAGGGCTGACGGAGGAGATGTCCCCTGCGGGATCCATCCTGGGAGGTGGCAGTGCTGCGGCGAGGAGGGGACAGACTTCGGGCCCCACGGGGGGCAAGGGCAGAGGACAGCCATGATCCCCCCCTCGCTGCGGTGTGCCGGGCTGTGCAAGCACAGAACAAAGCCGAGAAGAATAAAACGCAGCTGCAAACCACTACAGACTCCCTCAGCCAGGGGCCGCGGGCATCCCCCGGGCAGGTTTAACCCTTGTTGCCAGGACTAGTGGTCCTGTAAGTACCGCAGACATGGTGGCGAGAAGCATTTCTTACACCAAACCCATTATTTCTAACAAATAACCCTCCTAATCCCATGAAGTCCGTCCCTAAAGCCTGGCCTCCCTGGTTCAATTACGCAGGCAAACGGCCCCGTCCAGGAGCCACGTCTCTGGGTGACGGCAATAGCATCTCCCCAAAGGATGCTATTGCCTGCCCGAGGACCACGGAGCATGGAGGGGAGCAGCGTGGCCACAGCTGCCGCCAGCTCCTCACCCCGAAAGCAGACCTGCTTGCAAGCACCCCCTCGGAGCCCAACGGGCCGGGGTGCAGCTGCCTTCCCCGAGCAGGGTAATTGCACCGGAGGGAGATGCTCTTCTGGAGATGGAGCAAACCCCACCGGCGCAGAGAGAAAAGTCATTTGTAATAAGGTTCCTTCCTCAGGGCTGGTTCCCTTTGCTCCAGGAGGGAGGTTGAGTTACTCCTGTCCCTTGAGCAGAGTCGTCTTATTTTCTACGTGTGCCGCAGATGCGATGAGCTGGGCAAGAGGGTCCTCCCTGGGGCCAGTCGCGGTCCAGGCAGGTGTGGGGGGTGACAGGGTCGTGTGTGTCGTCGTCCCCCCCTTGGGAAAGGAGCTGGGAGCGAGCCCACCCACCAGCAAGTTTAATTAATATTCATCTGTCGCTTCCTAATGGGAAACTGTCTCTGAGTCACACTGACATTTCCCTGGGACAATGGTAATTAAGCACCTGGGTAAGAGAAATGTGCGGTAATAGAAAAGTTAAGTTTTCTTAACTACATGAGTGAAAAGCGGGTTTGGTGAGGACAGGGACGAGCGTGCATGTGTACCAGGCTCCTGCGAAAGCAAGTGGGAGTTAATGGCAGCTAACGTCACACGGCGCTGCCACTCTGCCCTGACACCCCCAGCCCCTCCCCGGGGGGCTCACCCCCAGACCAGACAGGGCACCTCAAGGGTGTCCAGCTCCCCATTCTGGGATGGGGTAAATCATCCCTACGGGTGGGATGAGCTCTGCCAGCCGCCTGGGCTGTCCTCGAGCAGGGGGACCACGACCCAGCGCTGCCAGCAGGCGCATCCCATGGGACAGCAGTCGTTCCGCTGCGGTTCCTCCAGCACCGTCAGCTTTATCCTATTGAGTGGGACAGGACTTTTCCAGAAACGGCTCCATTGCTCACTCTCTCTCCTGGCCCTAAAGCGATGCGGGCAGGGCAGAAAAGCGGCCTTTTTGCAGGTAGATGCAGGCATGGGGCAGCAAGGGCTGCCTGCAGCTGCTGCCGGGCTGCGGGGCGAGGGGTGCGCCGGCTGTATTTCATGGGCCATGGGAGGCCCCGACAGCTCTGTGGGGAGAACTGAGGAGGGGGGCTAAACCCAGGTGGGGGTCTGCTCCCAACTGTTCATGGGAGCCGTGCAGTCTCTGATTGACCGCAACAGCACCGGAGTGAACCCCCGGCAGCTGCGCTGGCGCAATCAAGGCAGATGCCAGGTGGGCAGCGCGGAGCCGTGGGAGGTCACTGCTGCAGTGGACGCAGCAGCTGGCAGAAGAGTGGCGTGGGACCAGGAGCCAACGCAGCCCCTGCCTGTGTCACGTCGCAGTGGCTTGAGGTCACCACGCAGCCCAGGCGGGCACACGTGCAGGCACGCGGTGACCTCCCTGCGTGGGCTGGCGGCACAAGTGGCCACTCGACGCCGGTAGAGAAAGCGGAGCCCACGTAAACACGGCGTAGTCATGCCGCTGCCATCGTCCCCGCCGCCGGCACGCACCGCGCCAGGCTGCTGAGCGGCACCAGGAGCACGGGGCTGCAGCACGGCCCCCCTTGTTTCCCGGCCCAGGAGGTGAAGTGACTCCATTTAAAAGCAAACTGAGTTCAAACCACTTGCAGGAGCTGCAGCCTGCATCGTGCCACCACGCTGCAGAGGGTCAGCCGCGCCGTGGGAGCCATCGCCCGTCCCACACACCAAGCCCTGGGTACCGGTGGCTCCGGAGGTCTCCGTCCCCCCCAAGGCGGACGCACACACCAGCATGACGCAGCCCAGAGCTGCTGCGGGCTGTGTGATCGCAGCGGCACATGCCTCAGAAGTGAGTCAAGAAACCAGTCATTTTTAGAGCTCCTTTGTAAACCGGCTCTCCTTGACCGTCCGCAGAGTGTCAGCTGCTAACGTCACCCGTGCGGGGGGCAGGAAAATGTGGGAAAAGCAGCTTGAAGAAAAACTGTTAGGGGTTTGATTGCCATTCCCCCCCAACAAGCCCATGGGGAGCGGCATGGCAGCTCGCAAAGCTCCCAGCCCCAGCGGCCCGGTGGCAGGATTAGACACCCCCCCCCTCCCTGCACCACCCGGGGTGGACAGATGCTCGTGAAATCCCCAGCTGGGGGGGTGAAGAGCAGTTTGGGGATGGCGTGCAGGACAGGGACCCCTGCGGGGGGACACGGCCATCCAACACCACCTGCCCACGGGAACAACGTGTCCAAACCAGGCCCGTGGGGAGCCAGGACCCGAGTCACAGGGGACGTGGTCATCCTGGTGGGGCTCCCACCCGGCCCCCAGTGTACGGCATTCACCGTGCCCTGGTTTTGGTGACCGATGCATTTCCCACGGGCACCCACCCAGTGGGTGCTGGGCCACCCACGCCAGCCTGCCGGGCCCCAAAATCCCCCGCTGCACCAACACCCGCCCGGTCCCGGCCCCCAGGGCGGCGGGGCGACGTCCCCCGGGATCTCAGCGACTTTCCCGGGAAACTTCCAGCTGGAGCCCCGGGAGCGGGGATCGGACCATCCCCGGTAGGGCCCGGGAAGGGTCCCCGAACGCCACCGGGGCTCTCAAACCGGCCCCGAGCCCCCGCTCTCGCCCTTCCCGGTACGGCTGTACAGCTCCGGTGCACCGACACCCGTCCCGTCCCGGCTACCGCCAGTGCTGCCGGTAGACGGCCCCCGGGGGCCATCACCCCCCTCCCCGGTGCACCGACCGTCCCGTTGGGGTGGGAGGGGGGCGGGTCACCCCCGCCGTTACATAAGGGGTTACGTCAGGACGCGCAGCCCCGCTCTTATCCCGCCGCCGCCGCCCCGCCCAGCCCGTTCACACGCCGCCGC